AGTAAAAGCCAAATAGATGACTACTAGGTTAGCCCAGAAATATCGCTGGATTTCTCAAAACCAAAAATCCTAGATAGTACAGAAATCACAGATAGTGACCATAAAATACTATCAACCAATTGGCAATTAGACACTATAATAAAAATAGAAAGGACAAAACGAAAATTCAGAAAAATTTTTCAGTATGACAAAATGGATAAACCGGCATGGGAAGATCTACAATACTATATAGGTACACATATAGCAGCATCTACAACTCTAAACAAACAAATAATAGATGAAATTAGCCTAAATAAAGCTTGGAGAAATTGGAGCAACATAGTTAAACAAGCGCTAAATAAATATGTACCAAAAAGATATAAATGCCAGAAACAATACTACTCTTATACTTTCAAAGCTACAAAACTCCACTCAGCTTTAAAAGCAATTGTCAAAGCCTTGACCCTGATTAATGCTAATTTAGACCCAGTAAATGTACTATTGATGGTAGAAAAAATAAATACCCAGATAGCAAAAGCAGAGAAGCTATCAGAGCTACAAATAGATAAGATTAATCATAATAACCTACTTCTTAACAATATAGCCGATACATTATACTCCCTAAAATGTGTAAGAAAAACACTATTTAAAGCAAGAGAGATTGAAAACAATGCCCATAGACGAGATCAAATCAACCAATTTATAACTAACAGATACAACAATTTCCAGAATGATACTAAAAGTATGATAAATAGTATATTAAAAAGAAGCAAGACAAAGGTCACATATGACAACATAATAACACCTACACAAATAATAACAGACCTACAAGCAATAAAAGAGGAAACTTGTACCCACTTCAAAGAATAAACAAAAAGCAACCCTATGAACACAGAAAAATGGAAAGAATGGGAATCTATATATGAACCAAAAAGCAATATAGAAACGAACACTTTTGCACCAGTAACAGCAAATATCTCGTTGATAGAAATCTTAGAAACGATTAAAGAAGCACCCGACAAGAAGGCCCCAGGTCATACAATAATCATTAACGAACTACTAAAAAAACTTCCAATGATCGCAGTTGAAGTGCTACTAAAAATATATAATACAATCATCACTATACAAAAAACCCCAAAAGAATGGCAAAAGGGACTAGTATGGCCTATTGTGAAACAAGGATATAGAAATGGTAATCTGAGTCATACCAGACCAATAACTCTACTCGAGCACACAAGAAAGATCTTTACAAAGATATTAACAAAAAGGATAAGTACAATAATCACTAGAGATAGTAACATACTCTCATCAGCAAATGATATAGCTGTACCTTTCACACAAACGCTATCTCCTATTCAAAAACTAACTTATATTCAAGAAGATGCAAAAATTCTAAATAAGGAGTGTTGGATACTAGCACAAGATATGTCGAAGGCATATGATACTGTATACTTGCCACTTCTAAGAAAAGCGCTTAAAAGAATAAAAATAAAAGAAGCGACAATTAACATTCTATTATATATCCTAAGCAATAGGAAAAATCAAGTAATAACAGAAATAGACAAAACAAAACCTTACAAAGTAGAAGACGGGCTCGATCAAGGAGGAACTCTATCCTCTATCCTGTGGCAAATATACTATGACCCACTAATTCAAAAAGTAGAAGATGCAAAGCTAGGATATAATATACAACTTTGCTCAAATCAAACAACAAAGCAACTTCAAGAAAACATATCAGTAATAGCATATATGGATGATACTACTTGGGTTGCACCAAATAGAAAGAAAATTGAACAAATTCTTCAAATAGCATCTTCCTTTTATGAAATAGCTCAAATCCAAGTCAATCCAACCAAATCAGCACTATTACACAACAATAATCAAGATATTGCTGAAGTAATCTTTCAAGGAGAACCTATAATTAACACTGATACCAAAGGAACAATAAAATTTCTTGGAACATACTTAGATATGAATAAGAAACAAAAATACGCAAAAAGTAGAATCATAAAGGAGTGTTACCAAGATATCACAAAACTAAGATTTTGCAAAATAACGAACAAACAGGCAATATATGTAATAAATACAGTAATATTAGCTTGTCTAAGATACAAGCTATCAAATATAGCACTATCTAAAACAGAGTGCAGTAAAATCACAAACAGCTATATTAGAATAGGTAAGCAAAAAGCAATGATATCAAGAGGAATGCCCAACTCTATATTCATTAATCCAAATATATACGGACTATATGATACCTACCAAATACAACAGAAATATCAAATACACATACTTGAAACACTAATAAATTTGTACCGACAGCTACCAACCTTTAAAATTTGATTAAAACAACTCCAAGATGATGCACTAACGAATACATCAATCCTAACGCATACACCAGTTTTCTCGAACAAAGAATATATGAATTACACAGTACAGCTAATCCTAAATAGTCATGTGTTAAATATTAGTTTTAACAGAAAACGAAATCAATAGCCAATACCTCTCCAAATAGAAGGACTATCAATAAATGAGATATTAAAAAAAGAACATTTATAAAACAAACTCAAAACAAACTTAAACAAATATAAAATAGCGGTGATAAAACAGTTGCTCAATATAGATAATACTAGCTGGGTAAACTAGCACCAACTCCATCATAATACAGATAGAATACCAAGAGAAAAGGAACCAAGATGGTTTCGTGATATAATAACTAGAAGTATCTCAGATTTAACAACCAAATACAAATTAATTAATCCGAATCCTCATATCTGGAAAAGCTACAAAAGCAACCTATCTAAATGAATCATAACAAAAGATCTGCTATTCAGAAAAATCACAACAAAAAAAGAGGAGGAGATAAAACAGATACAACATTGGATACTAAATCAGAATACACACAGACTATCAAGATGTCGAAAATGTAAAATCAACAAAAATAAAAATAAGAACAAATGCTGTATATTCGAAGAATCAACTGAAAAAATTTACCCAATAAAAGTAGACACCAAAAAGATATGGCACGGAGAACTAACGAACTTTGAGAAAAAGATAAGAGATAAAAAGATATCAAAAAAACAGGTGCTATATATAAACAATACTATACAATTTCAAAATACTATCTCAATGATGTTCCAGAAAAACAAAGAGTGGATCAAGGCAATACACTCTAGCTTCTGCGATAACAATACGGACAATGTAATAAAAATCAACCTAATAGTTCATATAACAAACACAAGAGGCTTTTCAGAACCACTGGCAATTATCCAAGACAAAAATAGTAGCAACTTAGCAATAATAAGAAATGGATCCTGGCCTTCCCCTACCAACATTCTACTTACAGCATTAAATATAATAATGACAATAGCACCATGGAAGAAAACAATTCAAATTGTATCTAACTCAAGCCAACTAGAGAAGATATTAACAAAACTCGAAGATACAAGGCAACCTTATATCAAATATAAAAGAAGGGAAACACACACTACACTGTGGTTAACACTAAATGCAATAAGATTAACCAAACACATCAACACAATACATACCAGAAAGCAAATTAGATATCAAATAAAATCTTCTAACACAATCAGATCAATAGCTATAGCACCAAAGCATCACTTACAAAACTATTACACACCATCTCTATTAAATAACACATTAATGAACAGTATCAAAACCACGGTCAAACATATATTCAGTGCCAATAATACAGTAATATTAGCTCGTCTAAGATACAAGCTATCAAATATAGCACTATCTAAAACAGAGTGTAGTAAAATCACAAACAGCTATATTAGAATAGTTAAGCAAAAAGCAACGATATCAAGAGGAATGCCCAACTCTACATTCATTAATCCAAATATATACGGACTATATGATACCTACCAAATACAACAGAAATATCAAATACACATACTTGAAA